GCCTGCACAGGGCAGCTCCCGACGGCTCCCGGAGTCAGGGCCGACTCCAAACAATGGGTGGAGAGCAGGAAACACCGCATGGGAAACAGGATTTGGCTCCGCCGCCGCCGCCAGTCACGGCCCCTTGGCCCCTTTCCTTTCCCTGCTCCAGAGAGTCCTTCCCACAGCCCTGAGCCACGGGGCTGCACTGAGGGGACGGGATGCTGCCACTTGGGTGGACCAGGGCATGAGACCCTCCATACAGCAGGCGAGGAGAGGGGCTGGGGCAGCTCCTAAATGAGTCATGAGATCTGGCAACATGGCTTGGGAAGCCCTGAGCACGTTGCCCTAGCCCCAGAGGGCTGGGCGCCTGCTCCCAAGGAGAGCTACAACCAGGCAGAGGACCTCAGTGGACTCTTTGCCACCAAGCTTTGCTCCTGAGCAGCCAGGTGGCCACCAAGCAAGCAGGGACAGAGGTATCTCCCTCACTGTGCCCAGGCTATGTGCCAGAAGAGGTGGTCCCGGCTGCCCTGGAAGCTGAACAGCAGGGCAGAGGCAAGATGAGGGGCACGGGCAGGGGCCAGGGGTCCTGAGCTGCTGCTCATGTGGAGCCCCTAAGCAGCCGCAGCCTCTGGCTCTGACCCCCGTGGCTGGGACATGCCGGGGATTTTCTGACCTCTGCCAGATTCGGGACACGCTCCAGGGACATGGGACTCCAGGTTTATCTTCTGCTTCTCCTCCCATGGCTGACAGGTAAATCACCCTTTCCTTCTGCCCCAGGGAGGCTTGGTGGGATGAAGCAGCTGCGGGAGCTCAGTGGCGCCATCAGAGCAGGGTTTGGAGGGAGGAAACATCCCTTTGTGATCAGTCATTTGGAGACCTCAGAGGCCAGCAGTGCCATCCCCTGCTTGCCTCTCCCCAGCATGGGGCTGGGGCACTGGGGCGCGGGCAGCTTGTGGGAGGAGAGGGGCCCAAGACCCATCCTGCTGTATGCTTGGCTCATGGTGGGGGGCTGTGCCGATGCGGATATTCAAAAGGAGAGTAGAAATGCCCACCATGTCATCCCCATGGGTCTGCACCCAACCTGGCTGTGTCCTGCCAGTGTGTCCTGGGCTGGGGGTGGCAAAAATGTCCTGGAAAGGGGGTGACATGAGAGTGACAGGATCTGGCCCTGAGTCAGGGCTAGATGGCCATGCCCTTGTCCCACCATGACGTGCCTTCATGCTCCTCCATCTCAGGGGCCATCCTGGATATCACCCTGATCGCCAATGTGCAGAGCCTGTCGCACTCTGACTTCTACCTGTCCTGCGTCATGGGGGAGCGCGACGTGAGCTACCTGCAGATCGAGAGGGAGAACAAGATTGTGATGACACACCCTAAGACAGGCTTCCAAAACTACCGCAACCGCAGCAACCACGTCCAGGCCAGGGGCTTTTCCATGGCTGACCTGGTGGGGATCCTCTACTGCCTGGGGCGCACCCCAACCGAGCAGGCACAGGTTGTCTATGTGCACAACAGCCACAACGGTGAGCAGCTGGGAGGGCACATGGGAGCTACCTGCCCTGTGCTTCACAATTCCAGTGCCAGCCAGCCTGGTGGTGGGATCGTGGTGACCCACAGGCTATGTTTGGGGTCTGCCAGCACCCGTGGGGTGGATAAAGGAGGGATGTTCAGCTGGAGGAGGGTGGCTGAGTCCCGCAGGAATGGGCAGCAGCACAGGCAGACAGCTGGGCTGGGAACGGTGCCTAGAAACAGAGCAAGGTCCAAGAGGAAGTCGGGTGCCCTTGGAGGAGGTGATGGGGTCTGGAAATCATTAACTAGGGTGGGGGGCAACCCCCTGGAGCCATGCTAGTCTCGTGTCCCCACTGCAGGCTCACAGGAGGGAGGTAATGCTGGGGTGAATCTCCGGCAGACCATGGGTGCTTGGCGAGCATGATGCCAGGGCACACCACAGCCAAGGGTAGTGCTGAGGTCCTGTCTTCCACTTCCATTTTGGCCATATGAGCCTCCCTAGGGTGGCAGGGATAGCACCTGGGGCAGCACTGCCCCACACTGACCCCCCCGACCTTCACTGACCTTGTGTTTGAAACTTTGCAAAACTATTAGGATTGAAATTTTCTGTAGTAGGTGTTTGCCTCAGGAGGATTTCTAGGGTTTTTTTAGATAGTTTTGGCAAAAACAGTTGATCTTGGCAAAAACAGTTGATCTTTTGCTGAGAAGGAGAGGTGGGGGATACAAGTTTCCCCGCCTAAGTGAAAACACAGCTTTAGCAAGCAGCTCTGTTATCTCCAAGGTGGAGAACAGAGGCTGCTGGTGGGGTCCAAGCATCCCCCAGGGAGCCAGGACCCGCCTGTGCCTTTAGCCAGAGGTTCTACACAAAAATGGCAGCGGTCCTATCAGAAAGAGAGCCAGTCTGGGCAAGCAGAGCGGCACAGAGGCACCGAGGGAGGGAGGCAGAGGCACCAGCAGAAAGCACAGAGGAAATGTCCAGCAGCAGGGCAGCGAGAAGCACAGAGTGGGCTCTGCAACCCACTGTACATAGGTCATGCAGGGAGGCAACAGCTCTGGGGCTCCATCAGTATGTCACGGTGTTCGGG